AAATGTATGTATACACTCAGATTTTTCGGCGCAGAATCCAATTGATAGCTATTGGTTTGAAAATTTTAACGCTATATTTGTGCGACAGTGCCAAATATATTATAAAAAGTAAAAAAAAGAAACAGAAAATTGCGAAGAAAGAAAAAATGTGCATTATCTTGAAGGCTTCTGAGTTTAAATTTCTTGTAAAATTAAAATTAAAATAATAAATTATTAGATGAACAGAACCTAAAAGTCAACTTCGATACTTCTACGATAATTACACGTTTTAATTAAAAATATGATAATTATATATTTTAATTAAAAATATTTTTTTCAATAGGATAAGAAAAAGAAATCGCATATTTTGCTCAGGAAATATCTGAAGAATGCATATGTAATTACGACTTATGAGTGCTTAACTCATTCGTTCATGACTAGATCATCATGCTGGTACTCCAACATAAAAGCGTATTAAATCTATCACTTTGTTGTCCAGTTAATAAAAAATATTCTATGAGATGCTCTCTTTTCGACCGAAAATATTTTTAAATAATTTTTATTTTAAGATAATAATTATTAGCAAGCAATATTTCACATTATGCAAGGATGATTAAAATATAATTTGAATATATTTTAAAACAATTATTAGCAAACAATCTCTCACTACGAAGGAAAAAAATAGCAATATAAATTAGTAATAAGAAAATGATTCTGTAGCATTCTAGTTTCTACTCATGTAATTTTATAATAAGATTCTACACAATTATGCACGAAAGAACGAGACTGCACTTAATCCAGTGTGCAATGCACATTTTCTTTTTCTTTCACGAATAAAAGATATTCACTCTGAAATACTTCGCATTTCTTTCGGAAGTTTCAAGATAATTACCTTTTATTATATTTATATATATATACTTCGACTCGCTATATTATATATTTACAGATTCTTCACATTGTAAAAAATATATAACGCATTTCGTACTCAATATATCAGATATATATATGTATATATACGCAGGTAATAGTACTGAAAGGCCGATATACACATATCTAAATCGTGGTGTTTTTCTTTTTTTTCTCTTTATCTTTTCACCAATTACTAATTAATATGTGCGTGACCCGATTGCATGACAAATGCACATGTGTCTGCAACTGTATGTGAATTACACTGTATATGTCTTTGCACATTGCATTTTTCTCTTTCGATCTTTTTCTTCGACATGTAGGAAGATAATAACTGATTCGCCGATCATAAGTAAAGTGAACAATTAAGAAAAGAAAAACAATTCTGGTCCTTAGATGTATGATATGCTGGCCGACTCCAGGTATGGCGCAGTCCTTTTTCTTTTTCCCTTTGACGCTTCTTCGCCGACGATAGCTCCCCAAATAAAAACGATTCTGTTATTAGAATTCATGTCGTAGATAATTCATGCGGCAACGATTTTCAGACCGCTGCCTTAAAAAAATAGCGCGCGCAATCTCGCAAATCTCGTGAATTGGACGCGCAGGAGGCACGCGGCGTGGCCTCTCTTCATATAAATATATAAATAGATTTTTCAAGTATATATCAAATACTTGGTGAGCTATCTAGGCAGACGACGGCCTTGTGATCCGTACTTCATACCATGTGTGTATGTATGTATGTATACATGTTTCGTATGTATAAAACAGGGCAAAAAACGCAAGAAAGTGTACAAGTCAGGCGACGATCAAAACGCTTTATAAAGAGGCCCTCCGATCGAAGCCGGGTGAAGACTTCGATTATTGTTATTCGATATACAAAAGGTGCGATGTTACGACTACGGGATCACAGCGAGACTAAGAATTTTCCACGTTATTGTGACAAAGTAGCGGCTTCGTGAAACCACTCCGCCTGCTCTTATCCTTCATCTCTTGACGCGCGAACCGCGAGATAACTCACGACCGCGGTTTCCGGCGCCTCAGCAAATTCTTTTTTCTTTGTTTTTTTTTTCTTTTCTAATATTAGGGCCCGGAATAAAACTACAGAAAGCACCATTCGAAAAAAGTATACCGAAAGGGTCTTTGCGTTATTCAACGCAACATTTAACGCTCGTTCGAAGTATATGAACAATTATCTCTTTCCGATACCTAAGAACGATCTAACTATCAATCGTAGAAATACTGTACATCAGTTCATTCTCATTTTTTTTTATTTCTTTTTTCTTTAACTCTTAATTCTTGCAATTTTCTCCGAAAGTTGGAAAATAGTATCGCGTATACTATTCAGACAATACAATTTGCGTTAAAATTCATAATGCCGCGTTTACAAATTAGAATTGGGAGGGCTGTACAAAATTACAAATACATCTTTGTCAGAAGCGAAACAATATCCTTCGATAAAATCAATAAAAAGATATTAATGTCGAACAATCTTCGTCAATTTTTCCTTTTGCATTTAACCCTCGGATGCGCTTTCTAAATAATTTTCTCGAAAGTTTAAAAGGCTCAAAGTTTAATTAGATAAAGATATAATTTGAAATCTTCTAAAAATTAAATCTAGAAGATAGAAAGATTCGATCTCAGTGAAAATATTATGAAAAAGTAAAAATTGTTCCAATAATGCATCCAAGAGTTAAATGCATTGAACAATATATAATGAACGTTATTACGATACGCTCGTCGAGAAGCGGTGTTTATCTGACAATACAATTTTGATTACATGAGAAAAATTACACACACTATCTGCCGGTTATTTATAAAATTAATCGAGCGTTTTAAAAAAATTTCGTCAAATCTTTTACTATGATAAGGATAAAACGGAAAAGAATTTTTTATACGTTATCAGAAATGTGCAAGTAATACATCTACCGAAATTGTGCAACATAAAGAATAGAAATAAAACGTATATCTAAATAGATAATTTACAGAGCATAATTATATCTAATTATACAACGAGACATGATTGTAAAATAATGTAAAAAATAAATGTTATAATCTCATCTATAGAATTTCTTCACATTGCAAATTCAGTAAACAGTAATTGCACGTTTCTAAAATAAGTGTGTAATTTTTTTCGAAATTTTCAAATTAATCAATCTTATGAGGGGAGTGCCATTGCTCTCTAACTTCTCCTACATCCATCGATTATTTTTTACATTCGAAACTCGACGACAGTTTTAAACGATTCTATGGATTTCTTTTCTTCGAAAGCAATGCCAATAAACGAAAAGTATTGTAATTGTATTTTAGAATATTCACAATTATTTTCTTTTAAACATCTTTTGTGGAACATTACGAGAAATTCTTAGAGAAGTTTTATTCGGATTCTGTGATTTTTCACGAGGCCTCGAGGATAAAAAAAATATTTTTGAAAAGAAGTCACAGTCTTGCTATTACGATACTTTTCACATTGGTGTAGTCATTATGAGCGATGAATAAAAGCACATACGTGATTTTTGCAGTTGAAGGGATCAATGCGAAAAACCGGCGCACCTTCCGGAGATTTCTAATTCTACTATTGTGCTCTGTCATTGGTGTATAAGATCACTCGTTAAAAAAAACCGTCATCAATCCCATAGTGATCGAATGTGCAGTCTTGCAGCCTATGTAGTACAAATTTTTTTTTTACCGTACAAAGCTTACAAATTACGAGTTTAGATTGACATTATTACGTTAACTATCTCTTTACGAAACGTTTCTCTTAATATTTTCCCGTCATCTCGTATTTACATAATATCATCTGCAATGTTACATTTCAACAAACTAAAGGCAAGTCTTTAACTCTGGCCCTTAGTTTATTAAATTTTGTAATCATCACGATATATTAATTTGCTCACTTCTGCGCATCTGAGTTTGCAAATACGGTATTGCGTATCAAACATCTTGGAACAGATATAAAAGCAAAACAAAAGTAAAGTATTAGTACTTGCTACACAATGGATCACAAGAAATCTCACAACAGCTGAATTATCCGTTAACCACTGAGGTGTCGCGTACAAAACTTCATTCTCAGTGCCTTTCCTTTATGCACAGTAAAATAGTTCAATGTTAGGACTGTACAACCGACATACAGGATGATTTTGATCGTTTGAAATACCTTGAAACATTTTGAAATATTTCAGAATCAAATTATTCGATACGAAGAAACAAATATCATTAAAATGATTCTCAAATTGAATAATTTGTTTCTGAAACATTTTTCTGTGTATACCCTTAAGAATAATGAAGACATTTCAAATGATTAAAGGTGAAACACCCTGTGTATAAATGTCACTAACAACGTCTCGTACAAAAATGTTTAGACAATATCTCGCTAATCAGCCTCCTTAGCTTAAATTAACACAGAACAATTGCACAGAGAAGAGTACTCTCAAAACCGAACCACTTTCATCGAATCAGATGGATTTGATTGCATAGCCTTCACAATGACTGCATACAAATTATGCTTACAGGATTAAGCCTCACTCAAACATTTAGTTTGGCTCGTTATCGCTGAAACTATCACCATGCTAGAACGACCATCACAGTGATTCCTTCAAAGTGCGAATAATCTTTCTTTTTTTCTGCGCAGCACCTAAATCTCCATTTGTGGACGAGAACGCGAACCTACGTGCGACGGTTCTGTCTGAAATTGAGCAGAAAGCCGATATCGAGTTTGGTTTTACGGTTTTCGACACCTTCTCCTTTCTCGCGAGCGGAGTATTGGTCCTTTTGCCGAGGAAAAGCTACCTTTTGCTCGCTCCTTCTCTCTTAAATTTTATCTATATTATTTATATATATATATATATATATGTATATATATTACAATAATATTACATACATAATACTATTCGCGTATAATAAAATATCTGTGTTTAACGGCCGTCTCTCGCCGGACGGTCTTCCGAAAGTTAGAAAAGAAGAGAACCATAGTTTCCATTTTGGAAAATTCGTACAGCGTCCGATATAAGTTAGCCTTGACAGATGCACGGCATATCTCAAGGTCAATAGGACATCCAAAAGATGGTTCTTCGAAAGGAGATCCTCCAGGACGACGTAACACGTTGACGAGAGCTCTGCCCATAAGCCACTGTACACTGTATCATCTTTCCTTAGCATGTTCCTCAGCAGGCCAGGTAAGAGATGTAAAAAGAATCCTCCTAGCAGAACGGCGTAAAACCACGTCAACGAGTTAACGCCAACGAGCTCTTTCCCCGAAGCACTGTACACACTGTATACCTCCATCACCTTAGTTCGGTCCGCGGGTAAATAATCCGGGCGAACGTCGATTTTGATTAAGTATTAGAGGACGCTGCAACAGCAATAGGTCTTCTTCTCCTTCTCAGGACTGAAGTTCATCTCGCGCACAATCTCGGCGAACATCTCGTTGACGTTGGTACGGTTCTTGGCGCTTGCCTCGACGAACGGACAGCCCCAGAGTTGCGCGAGCTGGTGGCCTTCCTCGGTGCCGACCTCCCGTTGGTGCTCCAGATCGAGCTTGTTCGCCACAAGTAGCACCGGCACGCGTTCCGTACCCTTGACGCGCGTGATGAGCTCCTTCATCGCCTTGATATCCTGAAAGGTTTGATGATTCGTCAAGCTATATACTACGACGAAACCCTGACCGTTCTTGATGTACAAGTCGCGCATTGACGCGAACTGCTCGGTGCCGGCGGTGTCGAGGATCTCGAGGACACATGGCGAGTTGTCCACCTCGATCTCCTTGCGGTAGAAATCCTCGATCGTCGGATCGTACTTCTCCATGAAGCAACCGGATACGAATTGGACAGTGAGCGCACTCTTGCCCACCCCGCCCGAGCCGAGGACCACCACCTTGAACTCGCGCATCTCGCCGTCGTCGTCGTCGCCGTCGGCTCCTCCGCGCCTCCTTCCGCGACGTCGCCACCACCACTTCCTAGACGTGTCCAGGACCGCGCCGGGGTGTGGAGAGCCGTTTCACTCAAGGAGAGAGAGAGAGAGAGAAAGAGAGAGAGAGAACAAGAGAGAGGAGGGAGGGAGGGAGGGAGAAAGAGAGAGAGAGAGACACGGAGCAGAGGAACGGAGAAAGAGCGCAAGAGAGACAGATAGACGGAGCAAGATCGTCGCACCTTCTCTCACGAGTATATACACTTCACTTCCACTGGCTATCAGCTAGGCTATGGGCACGAGGTTCCTCTTAGCCCTCGTCCTCGTCTTCGCCTCGTCGCGACGGCAATCCGCGCCCGTCCTCCTCCTCCCGGTCGCGAACAAAGGCATCGACGAAACTGGCCGTAGTCTGGCTGGCGGACGAGATGAGAGAAAGAGAGAAAGAGAGATAGATGGATCACGCGAAATGAGAATCGACCTGCGCCGTCTCGTAGTTAGGCTGCCTGGATATTACGGCGACTACGCGGCTACGCCAGGACATGACGACACAGGCCGTCTCTCCGTCCGCACGTTCTATACGCAGGCACGTATACGACGACACAGCTCTCATCCGTGCCTGCCTGCCTGCCAGCCTGCCTGCTTGCGCCCGCCTGTCGTCTACCTCCTCTTCCTGCCTACACCCCCCCCCAACCCCCTCGAACCCCGCTGCACCGACCAACACCGACCGCTCAGCCGCGATCTGACGTGCGCGGTGCGCGACGCCGCCATCTTATCGTCGCCGTCAGGCTTTTCTTCGAATGAACGTCACGTCGTCGCGCAGATCATCGACTGTTCGCGTACTCTAGATGTCGTAGGCCTCGAAAACACGTTACGTATTCACGGAAAGCCCGTATATTGCCCGTATATATTTGCAACCGTTGACTGTGCATCGGAGACGATCGAGTGATGTATAGCGCTCTGTTCTATTAAATTCAGAGGCTACTTTGATTCCCGTTTCGTGGAGTAAATTTGAATTAACAATTCCTTTGGCACGATTTCATTGAGGTTTAAATAAGTTTGGAGTGTTTATAGACTCCAACCAAACTCCGATTAACTTAATCGGTGGTTAATTCAGTTTTTGCTCGATGATTGCTCGCAAAATTTCTAATCTGATATCTTTCTTTTCGTGTATCGGACAAAAATTAATAATTTTGTAAATATTAATAAAATACTGCAACAAGTTATATTTTAGGCATTGCACGCAATGGAAGAATATTAAATGCCAGACATAAAAAGTTAGGAACTTATTTTAACTTAACATTGGATAAATAAGATACAAGACATAAATATTACGTTTAATTTCTATTCCTAATCTTTTTATTTTATTTATTACTAATATTATTTCGAATATTAATTTATTAATATTTACTTTTGTTCCCAAATATTATTTCTATTGTCCCACACAGCATACATTTTATCTGATAAGAACGTCCTTAGAACAAGCAGAATGTTCTCTGGACATCTGTATAGGACGTCCCTAGAAGATTTGTGTATGAAATCTTTGCTCGATAAGTTAAATTAATAATAAATTCGATCACTTGCATATTACACTGGATTAGATAGTTCATATTAAAAACTGTTACATATGAAATTAGCAAAGTTAAATTCAAATCATATAAATACTTAAAACAATTAAATATTCAATAATGATATTATTGTCATGTTCTTTAACAGAATATATATATGTATTATTTTATTGTGAAAACTTATAAGTAAACAAGCTAACATTTTTAACGTCATTTTGATGTCAATTCAGTTAATGAAGAACTTTAAATGGAACAATCTTTTTTGCATTCAATTGGGGATATTCAATTGGATTAAAAAACTACATTTCCTATCTAAAATTTTTAATTAAGCAGTAATCACGATCCACTTTTAAAAACTGAACTTATTTTTGGATTGAAAAGCATAAAAAACGTGCTTCATGCAATTCCTATAAATGAATAAAAAGGCTTTAGGCATTGAAACGAATTCAGATTTTCAGAGATATTCGAAAACGTTGAAATTAATCTTTTTAAATTGATTTTAATTGATTTTTATTTACTGAAAAATGATATTAAAGACGTCATTTTGACGTCAAAACGATGACAAATAACATCGACTTGTTTACATGAAGTTTACTATATATATTATGCCAAGATATTTTTACGTCAAGCAACCTTTGATGTGCACTAATCCAATATAGTGCGACTGATCGAATTCATTATGAAATTAATCGAACTTTGGCCGCAGTCGTATCGCATTCGAAGCGAAAAATCCCGTGATTTCCTCTCTTTTTTGCAGTGTCATTCAAACGTATCAGTAAAAAAAATAATGTGTAAATGATGAGTTAAAAATAATCATTGGTAACCGGATTATAATTATACCTTCCAGTACCCGTTTCAAATTGCTGTAAGCAAAAAACATCTCGCTCCATAATAATCGACGGTAAATAATCGTGACGGAGTGAAGTTATGCGCGGTTCACTCCGTGGGCCGCGGCAGGGAAAATCGCCGACTTCAAGATGCGTTCTCAAACGGATCGCGTGTCGATTGGCCACTCCGACGAGTTCGGGCCAATCGCGTGTCACCATGGCGACCGGCTCGTGGAACACCTGTTCCTTTCGATTCCTTGTACTATCCTGTACTTTCCGCACTCATGATTTTGCCTTCTTTTTTTTTCGAATCGTAAAAATCAGCGTTGAACAGACAGATATATAACTCTGAAATTTGTTTCAGCACTTTCAGCCGCGATTTCCATGCTCTCGGCCTTCATCTCCAAGAGACGCAGAAATAATAATAATATTCGGGCATCTAAATTTCGTTTGTAAAAAGAGTGCAGAACAAATGAACTCGCCCATCTTGCAGCAATGAGGACGAGGGGAGAAGGGAAGGAAACGATCAGCCGTGAGCCGAGTACGGAGAAGCTTCCCTTCGCCCACCGGATGCGAATGTCACTCTCTCATATCTGTCAGAGACAACGCTATCCACGACCTTGCCGAGGAGCAGCCGAAGAGGAGTGAGTTGCATCTCTCGTAGCATTCGTGTTGTAGAGTACGACTGTTGTAGAATACTTATTACATACTAGTATGCGTATATACGCGTATGTCCGGCGCCGCTCACACGTATACGCATGGTTACTCGTGACATCGTAAATTCACCGAGGTTACACCGCGCACAAACGGTACATCCACGGTACACTGACTCTAAAAAAACAAATTAAAAACTTCAAGATATACTCTCGTTGACAAGGGACGAGCGGCAGAGTAAGAATGATCGCGATGCACCGAGTATAACTATTTATTCTTCTATAAATTATGAATTTTAATTTATATTCATTGTAGGCATTTTTTATATAATATTGATAAATAACATAAATATAATTTATATTAATATATAATTATATATATTTAAATATTTATATAATATTTAAAATATATTAATATATTTTGATATGATAGTACAAAGATTATAATATACTATAATGTATTGATTAAAAATTATAATTATAAATTGAAAAGAAAATATATACGCTGGACATAACATTCATATTCTTATTGCCCAGAGCATACAAGTTGGAATACGTTATTAAAGAACCGTAGTAGGATTTCATAAATGTTTAAAGAACCATAACACCGCGATGCCACTCAGCGTTGCAACAATGAGCTCTTTAATGACTAATTGGCGTAATTTGAGGTATTTCGCAAATGAGAGATAGAGCTTTGCAGAACTGATATAAGTTACTTCATATTTTCAAAGCAATTTCTACGTCAACTACTGGAATGATAATTTATAAAAATAAAAATCGTCGCAGCATCTTCATAACAATTTTGAATTTCTGTTAAGGATAAATTAAAAATGCATCTTTTTATCACAATTATTTTGTGACATACATATCACCAAATAATTATTATACGTATATTTTTATATACTGGATGTCCCAGAATGACCGCCAAATATTTCGTGTGCTGATAGAACGGACTAAGCTGAGTAAAAAATTCCGCTACCATTTTACAATTTTCGCAATAGTTAACAAGATATTAATTACTAAAAATTACCGAATATATTGGTTATTCAATAATTCTTTACTTAAATACTATCAACTTTACAAAAACACAACAAGAGATAAAAATTGTTTATTTTCTTCTCGTAGAGCTCTAAAAATTTTTTCAGAATTTTTTCTTATATATTGACAGCTATTTTTATCAACATGTGAGAAAATGCACTGAAAAATTCTTAATTTTTCTCTTTCACTATTGTGAAAATTATGAAATGGTAGACGACTTTTCGACTCGTGTCAGTTTAATCCGCTGTACCAGCACATGAAATATTTGGCGGTCATTCTAAGACACCTTGTGTTACATACATGTGTAATACATATACATATAATACATATTATCGCAAAATAATAAAAGTTCATTTGTGAAACAATGTGAAAAGAGATTCATTTATGTTATATTCATTTGTAATATATATCATAGATTAATTGTATAAGATATGACACAAATGAATACAAACGTATTGTGCGAAGTATGTTATAAAGCACAAAGAGTTGGTATAAAGAAATATGTTTTAAACATGTTTTAAACAGTTTAAAACATGTTTAATCGATATTTTAAACATGTTTTTTTATAATTCTGTTTGAAACATATTTAAAGCATTAAAAATAAGTTTAAGAAGAAGCACCATGTTTTATTCTTAAAAAAAAAACTAGCCTTTGCTAATTCTGGTACAAATGAACGGTACATGTTTCCACATCGAGTCTATTCGTCCTATTTCGATAAGTTTGGGCATATAGACGAATGTATTTTTAGCCTAATCGCAGGCAATACTTTCTTCTTACTTAGCATATACCGCTATCATAATCGCTACCGACCGGCTGACTCATCTCGCACGCATTACGAATTACTCCCGATGACGAATGCATGCTGACGAACTATTTCCGTGATCATCAGTTGCGCGATAACGCAATTTGCACTATCAA